CCGGCCAATGTTGGCACATACAGCTGCTGAATTCAGATGCGCCCTGCCAGCAGACAGAGCGGGTTCTTGAGAAGGAAGTCAACGTGTGACGACCTGCGTCAGAACGGGCTTGAGCACCAGCAGTTAGTGAAATAAAGACTGCTCGCTTAGGAAGCTCCCAGAGAAGGATACTTCAAAATCCCGAGGGCACAGGAGTCAGAAAGGCTCTAAGGACTTGACACCCCCCATAACTCCCCCTCTGCCCAAGCTCTCTGCCTCTCATACCTCAGTTTCCACCCTGGGATCACTCTCACATGGTGGGAAGGAGAAGGCAGGTCCTTTGCTGGTATTAAAATCAGTGCTGGTTAACCTCTCCGTCTTGCCTTGCTGACACCATCAACATGGAGTTCACGGTGAGCCCTCCACACTGAACTTGTTGAAGCGGAGGACGGCTTTTCAGATTCGTGAGAAGAGTCTGAGCCACTGTGGCCTCCTCCTTCGGAAGGACAATTCCTGGAGGCCAGCTCCCTGCATTGACCAGAGACTTGGTCCGCGCTCGGGTCTGTCTGAGACTAGAATTTCAAAGCAGGGAGTTCACGCCGCAGGACACACATTCTAACTTCACGGATAATATTGCTCGAAAACAAAGAATTCAAGTCCCTGTGAATTTAGATATTGTGGTATGGGGGGCTGGAGACAAAGCTAGCCTCTTACAGGCACAGAGGCCTCCGATAAAATAGAATAAAGTAGTGCGCACGACACCTCCAAGCTAGGTTGCTACAAGGCACCCAGCAGAGGTGGCCTGGCGGTCCCTGCCACTGTCCTTGCTGCTTCTATGTGGCCTCAAGACACTGGGCTACTGGAGAGCCTCCCTGGGCACATGCTACTTTTGGTGATCCCAAGACTCGTCTGACTTTCCTTTCCATTCTCCCCACCACCCAGGATGTGTGCTTTTCTTATTCTGAAGCACATAGGGTGTTCCCTTTATGGACTCCCTTAAGGAAAGTACACCTCAGAGAGAATTTAAACTACTGTGTTACTGCTCTCAAAGGTGTTTGCATTTTTAACACTTTAAAATTGTGGAATATTTACACTTACATACAGAGCGTAATGCACAAAACACAACTAGGCCACAGAATGAATTATTGTCAAGCAAACACCCATGACATGACATCCAGGGTGAGGAAAGGGGTCTCCGTGAGCATCGAATTCTCCTTGCCCCACAAGCGGCCTCAGCTGAGTGTGGGGTACCCACACACCTGTGTGTCTCTCGACCCACTCCTGCAGGCATCTCCAGGTGCTGAGCTGGGCTTATCTGGTGTCAGGTGTGAATGGTCCCTGTGCTCATGCATGGCTGAGTGGGACAGCACTGCGTCTGTGTTCAGCATTCTGCACAACGAATCCAGCAGTTGTCATGCAATGTTTTATCCTATCTGATGCCAAGGATTTGCTTCTGACAACCAATGCAGCTGTGCACCTGCTGCCTGTCCCCTGCTACACAAGGGAATGCATTTCTCCAGGGTTCTTTCCAGGGCTGGTCCTCAGGGACACCAGTGCAAAGTGAAGGTGACCTTGGAAGGTATGGTAGCAACTTATGCTGGCCCCGGTGCACACGGCCAGTCTGCTGTTTCCACCAAATGGGCACATCAGAGACTGCTTTGCACGTCTGCTCACTGCTCGCTGTGTAGGGGAATTGCACTGGGATTTGATTTTGCACTTCCTTCCCATAAACTAAAGACCCCAAGCACCTTTTCCTAACTGAACTGGAGTTAGGACGTCCTTTAGAAAACACTGCCTGTTGAACTCTGGTTTTCTGCTAGCTATCTCATTTTTCTTATTGATAGAAATGTAGGTATTTTGAATTAATGAAACACACACATATACATATATTATAATTGTGAAGTAAAGGGTCTTTCTGGTACAAGTGCAGGTAGAGGACTGGGGGAGGGGCTTTCTTTCCTGGCTGGGTCCAGGTGGTGCTGTCCACCTCCCTCTCACCCTGTCCACCTGTGGGCTGCCTGTGCTCCTAATTTCCTGACAGTTGTGTCAACTGCTCATTTTCATTTACTTTCTAATCTTAAAATCTTACACAGTGTGCATGTATGTACTCGAAGGCAAAGGTATTTACTGAATTTTCCCGATTTTAATAAATGTGATGCAAAGTGCTCCCATGGCTCACGGACAATGCGTTTTAGCTGTGCTGTGTATCAGCTGACTACTTGGTGAAGTTCTGGGATCTACCCCATGCCCCGAGTGTGAGTTCCCTGGGGTTTGCAGGTGAAACCCTGTTGTTAGTCACAGCCTCATGCAAAGCGACCAAAACCCCCCATGTCTGCATTACTTGTGGGGGCCGTGCAACCTGTGGGACAAAGTTAAATCGTATTATGCAAAGGCATGTCACAAATTCCTTGTGGAAGGGAGGGGTGAGGATAGGTAAGACACCTAAAAAACTAGCTAGCATTTGTTGCCCTTAACTCAGAGAAACTAAAGCAGATACCTTAAAGCAACTGAGGCCAATAGGAAAAGGGGACCAGGAACTAGAGAAAAGGTTAGATCAAAAAGAATTAACCTAGAAGGTAACACCCACGCACAGGAAATCAATGTGAGTCAACTCCCTGTATAGCTATCCTTATCTCAACCAGCAAAACCCCTTGTTCCTTCCTATTATTGCTTATACTCTCTCTACAACAAAATTAGAGATAAGGGCAAAATAGTTTCTGCTGGGCATTGAGGGGGGGAGCGGGAGGGGGCGGAGTGGGTGGTAAGGGAGGGGGTGGGGGCAGGGGGGAGAAATGAACCAAGCCTTGTATGCACATATGAATAATAAAAGAGAAATGAAAAAAGAAAAAAAAATTCCTTGTGGATGGGGTGGGGGCAGGTGAGCTCAGTGCCCTGTAACCTCAACCCCGCACACAACTCTGTGATGTGTCCAGCAGAGCCTGTGGGGGTCTCCGCGCCCCCTCCCCTGCATGTGCAGAATAAAAGCATGGAGTGCAGCTGCGGATTCACGGGATTTCCCCTCAGCAATGTGGGGGCTAGAGAAAATATTCCTCTTACCAACCAGGCGTGAAATGGCACTGGCCAGCTCAACAGGGGGGGGAGGCGGGTTGGCCACAGCCACAGAACTGTGCCACACATCAAAACCATACATGTCTTTTCCAGGTGAGCCTGGTGTAGTCACTTTTTTGTTTGTTCGTTTGTTTTGAGATAAGGTCTCACTATGTAGCCCAGGCTGGCTTTGAACTCCCAACCCTTCTGCCTCAGCTTCCTGAATGCGACGTTACAGGCTTGGCTAAAATTGAACTTTAAACTACTTAGTGGTATTTTCCACACAATAAACACCCCACTGTTATTTATTTATTTTGTGGTGCTAGGGATTGAGCTCAGGCCACCAAGAACTCTACCACTTGAGCTATGATCCCAGCCCTTATATTTTTATTTTGTTTTTCGGATAGGGTCAAGCTAACTTTTGTCCAGCTAGCTTTGAACTCATAATTCTGTTATTAGGGCCTCTGGAGAAGCTGGGACTACAGAAATGCACCACTATACCTGACCAACACCAGACTTTTAAGCCAAAGGACAGAATACTCTCTCTTGCCTAATCCAGTCCTCACTACCCAAAACTCAGTGTGAACAATGAAAAATGGAGCATTTTGTGCAGTTCACTGTCACCCTCCCTGGGTAACAAAGCAATGTGAACCAACAGTGCAGTGACTTTGATTCCAGAAGCAAAACAGTGTCTGGAGATTGTACAAAACCCAACATTCTGCAAGTGACTTCCTGAGAAAGTTCTTTCACTCAGTTACTAAACTTTTCAGACAGTATCACTGCAATCACAGAAATAGCTGTTCCCTCGGCTTTCTCCTTCCTGAAACAGCGCCCCGTGCCAAGTTCAGCTCCATGCATGGAACAAAACAGCACGCCAAGTATCTTTCAGGCCAAGAGATGCCCACGCTCTATGCTCTTCAGCTTTTTCTCTTTCCCTTCCTCCAGGAGTTTACAAAAGAACTATCAGATGTAAATATCAACTCACTAAATGACATTTTTAGCACTTTTTAGCCTTGGATGACAAAACAGTTCTGAAAGGTAACAAACATATTTCAGTTCCCTGTAACACACACCACGTGGCTTTTAAATGATGGCCAGTTTGTGTTGTTGTTGGTTACGATGTCACCGTGCTTAGGAAGTTGTACGTAGCTGACTTCTAGCCCACGCCCTGGCTCTTTGGTGACTCCATACACACCCAAATAATAAACAAGAGTTCACAGTTAGAAGATACCTGGCCCTTAAGTAGAAAACAAGTCTAAAAGCAAATTCTCAATGCAAATGCTTCAATACTTACATGAAAAATTATTTTATCACAGAGTAAAGGCTGATTTTTTTTTTACAAGAACAATGTGGGATTTATGATGACTGGATCATGCAATATAGGTCTCCCTGGTAATTAATCGAATCTGGGTTGCAGACAATTTTCTAATGAAAATGATCTGAACTATTTATAGCCTTTTTTGGTAAAATATATTTAGGGAAAGGAACACTTATAGGTTATTATTATTATGGCAGTTTTTATTACTCCAAGTACAGCAAGTCCCCTTTTGAGTAATGAAATACCGCAAATAAGCCATCTGGAAATTGACCTACAAAGAGTGATCCACTTTCTTGTTGGAAAGAATATAAATGTGTGTTCGTGTGAGCACACACACACACACACCCCAGAAATTGTCACATTTGGCCAAAGACAACATTAGGTCGTTTGCACTGGTAACTTCTGTCCTCGTGGGGATGTTTAAAACCTAAGAATTACCATTACCTTCTGTGACGCAGACCAGGTGTCTCCCTGTGCCTGCTGCCACAGCACGCTTGTGCAAGTCTTTGCTTTCTCAACAGAGAATAGTGATTTGGCTTTGTCCCCACGGTCACCTTCTGTTCCTCCTGTACTGAATTTCCTTCCGAGTCATAGCAAACCTAAGTAAAATGACCACCGTGGGGACCAGCAGACCGATCTCATAGGCCAGACCTACCCGGGCACCTGGGCGTCTTGTGGGCCACGGCAGTGCCGCTGACGGGCCTTCCGTTGGGTGTGACACACCAACAGTACCCTGTGTAGCTGTGACACTGGACCTGCCGAGAAAGGACAGGAAGGTGAGCTGATGACTGCCACCCCAAGGTGCACAAGCTGACTCTGCCTCTGTAGTGTCACTCAGACAAAGGCCTCAGAGACCCCGTGTCTCACGAGTGTGGAAACGCCACGGAAGGACGTGCTGACCACCACCACACAAATGTGGAAGAAAAGAGACCAAGGTACTTCACCAAACACTAGAGTGCTGGGTGCCTCCCTGTAGAGAACCCAACCCAGACCCCCCTCCAGATAGAGCCCAACCCCCACCTCACAAATGGAGAAACTGAGGCCCAACAAAGTCAGGAGACTCCCCAGTCTCTTGGTTGACCCCTGGTGGTCTCAGAGAGAGAAGCCAGGCATCCAGCAGAAGGGACGCTCTTCTGGGGTACCTCCTGGCCTCCCCCATGCCCTCCTGCCTGGGACCTCCTCAGATGACCCCGGCAGAGACGCTTCTCTCCTTGTCTCTCAAAGGTCAGGTGAACTCATGCCACCCCCGATGGGTCACAGCAGTGCTGTATCATCGGAGCTTTTTCTTCAATGAGGCATCTCAGCATTGACTCTCAGAAGAGAGCAGGGTCATTTCTTACACTGCCCCACAACCTGACTTGTCACCGTCTAGCCATGACCCCATATGGGGCTGAGGCCTGGAGCTCAGTCCTGGCCAAGATGACACGGCTCTCAGCACACCCTTCCATAATTAACATGAAGCTGAAATTAAACACTGAGCACCTGCACCGGGTTAGCAGGTGTGAATGGCCTCAGAGAAGAACCCAGTCCCATCAGCAGCTGTGATAAACACTTGGGCCAGCTGAGGTACACCAGCACCGTACACGTTAGGTGACACGCAAGGCTCCCCAGGAACCAGCTTCTTACATGCGGAGGGACAGTTCTCAGACATACAGACAGCCCTGGCTCCTTCCTCCCTTCAGATCTCCCCTCCCCGGTGACACTCTCCACCCACGAGGCCCAGGTGTAGATGCTCGGAGCGAGGTGAGTAACCTGACTGTAGGTGCCGTCATCATTGCATTCTGGAATGAACACCTGCTGGAACTCCTTCCGGGCTTGTTCCTGGGTGTACTTCCGCTCGGCCACACACCTGGACACATCTGTGGGGAAAAAGAGGCAGAGTGGTCACGCACAGGAAAGAAGCTGGAGCAGGAAGACTTTCTGAGATGCCAACCTGAAAGTCACAGAGGAGGAAGGACTGTGAGGCTGGGGGAGGTCTCCTCAGAAGGACAGGGGCCTCCTGCCATACAGTCCTGCTTTGTCCAGAAAGCCGGCAGTGGGAAGAGCAGGCATCCTGCACCACAGTGAGTGAGGGAACCTGAGGCTCAGAAAGCCTTGAGAGGGCCTGCAAGGAAGCAGGCTCTTGCTTCCTAAAATGGAGTGGTCACACCCAGTCACAGGCAGGTTCTACTCAGGCCCAAGGATGTCCACCTGGGCACCATGGTCACATGCAAATGGAGCAGAGTCCAGAGGACACAGTGAAACTCAGACCAGAGCGGACTGGCCAGAAGGAGGGTCATAGGGCACCTTGCAGGATGGGAACCTGCTGCCCCAGCACCTGCTCAAGCTGAGACCTCCTGTGAAAGGAAACCCCGGTGGCCCTTTGGTATCTTAATCCCCAGGATCTCAAAGTCCATACTGAGCTGCTGTCTCTTCCAACTTCACATGGAAAACCTGAGGACTGAGTAGATAAAAGGACCTGAATTCTTTAGCATGTCTCGAACTGCCTCACAGGGTCCTGCGTTCGTGTCAGAATCATGGCTTCATAGGATTCACCAGATGCTCTTCTCTCTCCTGTCTCTCTTTCTCTCTGGAGACCCCATAAACTAGTAGAAAGGCAAAAGTCCAAAACATATAAGCACATTTAATCTCACTCTGGAGAAAGTGGATTAGAATGCAGGAAGACAGGAAAGTCAATACTGCCCAGTCCGTGTGTCCCTCGAGCAAAGCTGACTTCTCTCGTCTGCATGACCCGGACCGGATGGATGATACTCGAGAGCCACAGGTGATTCAGTTTCCACGCCGGCAAAAGAGGTTAAAAGTGTGGGCTGAATGTCCCACACTCAGGATGATAACTGCAGTCCACGGAGGCATGTACCACCCTTTGGGAGAAGTCACGAGGTCTGCCACCCCAGGCTCTGTGACCAGGCAGCATCCCATGATACCCGCCTCGCCCCTGCGAGCAAAACACAGGATGTTCCATCTTGGCATTGGAAACCTTGACAAGAATGGCTTTCCTAGTGTTTGTTTTTCCGGGTTGAAATAAGAATGGCCCAGATTTCAAGGACATTTGTAGCCTCTCGACTCCAAGATGCTTTGTCACATGCTGTCTGCTTCCCATTGTCTCACAGTGACCCATTGACTGCCCAGAATAAAAGCTGCTGTCAACAACAATGCCATTGTGGGAGCAAGCCAGGACTGCAGGCCTGCACAAGGCGTGAGGATGCTGTTTGTTGAATGTCTCCCAGACCTCTACAGGCTCAGCTCAGGGTCTCCTGGCACACCGGGTGTGCTGCACGGGTGTCACAGGCTCCCTCTGAGAGCCCTCTGCCCAGGCTCCCTGCCTCTCGTCCACTCTGGCCCCTGGCCTGGCAGCCAGCACACAGCAGTGTGTGGTTTTAGTGTAGCCTGTGTTAGCTGAGGAGAAATCACTGCTTTGCTGGACTTGTCCTCGTTTTTGTAGGATAACCTGTGGTTTGACTGTCTCAAAGGAAAAGTGATTTGAGTTCCAGCTTGCCTGGCCTCAGCCAGGGTACAGATGGAGCCATAAATCAGGGCTAATATTGAACTACTGTGGGACATGCCACAGAAGCAAAAATTTTCCAGACAACTTGTGGGTTTCATTCCTGGCTTGGAATTCTCTTTCTTAAAGACATAACATTTGCCACCGGTTAGATAATTCTCAAAGCTGCAGCTCTGGGCCTGATAGGAAATGAAACTCCAAGTTAACATCTCAGCCGATCGTAGCAAGGGAGTTGGAGGTGACATGAAGAGAGCAGCACAGAATTTCAGGGTCGGTGTGAGTCACCCCTCAAAGTAAGTCTGTAGGCACTTTGTAAAATAAAACTGTGACAAGCACCCTGTAGTGGCTCTGGCCACCTGTCTGTCATTCCTACTCCAGAGACTTGGTGGCAAACCAGAAACAAGGACATTTACCGCTGATAAGAGTGTGACCAAGTAAACCCAGAACTGCCACACAACTTGAACATCAGGCAAGCAGATCAGTTCTACTGAAAGACACAAACAGTGAGGACACTGGACTCAAAGATGTCCCCTGTGTTCCTCCCACATTAAAACGATTATGTGCACAGTGTACGCACTCCTTAGACTAAAGAAATTACAACCCTCTAAATTATGTTTTCCATACTGGCTCTAATTTCTCCCTCACTCTGAAAGAACGGGATAGAAACGCACTCTCCGTGGAGCGTCGTGTGGGAAAGTTACATGATGATGAAGCCCTTTCTCGTCGTGCTTCTTGTGGCTGAATTAAAAATGAAGCAGGTCCCTGTTGTCCAGGGGACTTGTTGAGATTTTACTCTGGGTACTTCATTTCTGTTTACACTTTAAATCCTCAAAACATCAGCCAAGTGATTTTTGTGATGGTGCAACACAGAATTGCCATTTTAAAGAGCACAGCTCACTGGCAATTGGCATGTGCACAGTGCTGTGTGACCACAGTGTCACCATCACACATCACTGTCGGCTTGCAGGACAGCTCCATCATCCCAAAAGGAAACCCCACGCCAAGTAAACAGCCACTCCCATCCTCTTGGCCCACCCCAGAAGCATGGATCCATATCTGTCTCCATGTCCTTACGCACTCTGGGCATCTGGTGCGAATGGAGTCACAGTCACACTCTTTTGGCTTTTTGTGTCTGGCCTCCCTCCCTGAGCATCGACTTTCGAAGGTCATCTTGCAACAGCTGGACCAGGTCTCCATGGCTCTCCATGGCTGTGCTGGCTCATCTGTTCATCAGCTAGTGGACACTGGGGTTTTTCCATCTTTTGGCTATTTTGAATAGTGCTGAAATAATACGTTTTTGTTCGAGCACTCATTTTCCAGTCTTTGGGGCTTGTGCAGCAGAGGTGACTTGTCCGTTACATCTGCCTGACGCTTTCCCATCGGCTGAACCATTTCATAGTCCCATCAGCAGAGACAGCGTTCCAATTCTCCATGTCTGTGCCAACATGCATTTTCAAGTTGTCACAGCCACCCTCGTGGGTATGAGCTGACATCCTAGCTTTCAAAACTGTCGTCAATTTATACCTCACGGCAAACTCCATCTCAACTGAAGATTAAAATGCTAATATTCCAATTACAGAAAATTATTACTTCAACCTCTAATCAGAGAATTCAATTACTTTTTACTAGACTGAAGAAAAACTCTTTGACACCAACTTGGTCAGATATTTTTAGAAGCTTTTTGCTCCTACTTGAAAGAGGCAAGACTTCATAAATTTAAAAATTCATCACTATGTTTAGCAAGGTATCAATCACAAGAATTTTTATGAATCATTGATTGATACTAATGAACTTGGAAATGATTTGATTTACTTCTATGTGTTTGTTTTTTTTTTTTTTAATTTCCACAGTTGAAAAGTAAAATAGATCCCGGTGAAATCACAAGGCTGTTTATGCGTAACGTGGGAAATACAAATGTGGTGCTCACTATAAAGTAGAAATGAGTAGGGTTTTGCAGTGTAAGACACTGGCTTTCTTTTAAACATTGAAAAGAAATTAATTAAACATTAAAATTATTGGAAGCCAATAATTCTGTTCTTTGCAAAAATCACTCAAAACAGGGTCGAGCAATAGTTGGAAGACAGGCTTTGCTGGGGTCCCACACAGGAGAATCCTGGAAACTCCAGCAGCTGAGGGGATGTGCTGAGGCAGGCACTTGAGGAAGCTGCTCCAGGATGGTGGAAAACAGAGATGCTCAGGGTGACCTCAGGCTCAGGGGACCCCAAGCCAGGAGGCTCCTCCTTCAGGGACCCCTGTCTACAGCAGAACAGGACCTCAGGAACATGCCAGGGGAGACCCAAGTGTCTGACGCTCCTCTTGCTCCTGTTCTCCCTGAGATGTTTCAGTTGACACCTGTGACAGTGCCTCGGACTTCCTGCTGCAGAAGCCGGCACCTGTAGGAAGGGGCTATGCCCTTCAGTGTCCCACACTGGGGGCAGAGAAGAACAGGCCAGGCAGGCGTATTGCCTCTGGGTCTCCATGGCCACTCGGAGGTCACGATTACCATGGTGGCTGTGTGAACTCTCTGAGGTCAAGAGTTCTTTTCACTGCCATCCTCTGTAGCCCTGCCAGGGCCTGGCAGATACAGCTTACATTGCGACTGTGTGGGTTGGACAGCAAAGGGCACCCGGACAAAGGAAGTCACGCTCCCCTTGTAGAGGCCGCAGGATGAGGGCCCAGACGGCCTTGCCTTTCATTTTCACTGGCATCAAATGAAGGCAGACACTGTGTTTCAAAGCTGCAACATTTTACCACTTGTTATTTTGAAGGCCAGGCGCTGAGAAAACCAGAGAATGGCTTTCAGTGTCAACAATTCCTCCCCAGCTATGCAGTGGAGGTGTGGTGACAAGAGACCCGTGGAGCTCCAGGCAGGGACCCTGTCCCCTCTCTCTAGCTTTGCTCATTAACACTGCAGGTAGCGTGCCCATCCCAGCAGAGCACTTAGTCTATCTAAAGGTCCCGTGGTGATGAAAAGGTCTGACTGCACAGCCAGGGCAGAAGGAACTGAATTCTCCTTTTAAATTCATAAAGGCAGAACAAAATTATAAACCAGAAATCACGGGGTATATGATCGGGGTTGGCCAATTGTAAAGGAAAAATTAAGGTAAGCTGCAGACCACTTCTGTTTTTTCAGTATTCGACAGGAAAATCTGACCCTGCCCACCTCTGTGGTAATCAGTAACAGCTCTCCATGAGTCACAGGAGATCATGCTGTGGTCACTAAGTCATCCTCCATGAAGTCTGACCGTGACCTTCGCTGCTGGCCTTGGTTCTCCTGAGCAACCATCCCTGAGATGACAGCCATTGCAAAAGCGAACAGAGAAAGGGTCATTGTCCCTTGACACATCCGCAAGCATT